CCGAGTCCATTCTATTTTGAAATGAACCGTAATGTATATAATATATTTAATACAATGAAGTTGACTGAACTATTTTTTACCTGTCAATGAAGTACTTCTAACAAGATCTGTGTTGCCAGACGCCAAACGAGTTCGTATCTCACTCGTATGTAGGCGAGCAGCAATCAACATCGGAGAAAAATATTTGGGCTCTATATAGTCATAAGTAAATAGTACACGTTTATAATTGAAGGCTACTAATGGACAATATTTAGCACGTGCTTCTCAAGCGTAAGAATCTTATGAGGCATTTTTTTAAAGAAATACTCACAATAGCACACAAAAATATCGGCTCTGACTTCATGTGTTTGGTTTAAAGACTACGTAAAATCCAAAAGTATTCGTTGTTTCATTCAATAAGAACAATCAATTTGTTGTTTTAGACTTTTGTTGGAGTGTAATACTCGATCAAAAAACCGTGGCCAACTATTTTTAGTACTTCAATGAACAGTAGTAAAAGACGTCAATATGAAACGAAGAATACAGAGGATAGAAGTTTACAGTCGGTTCCAGCACCACCAACACCCTGTTCTGAAGACAATTTTCAAATTAGAAGGTACATGTTACTTGGTAAAATAGAAGATTTTTCAATCAAAACATTAATTTTTTAGTATTCCACTCTCAACTCGTGACACTAAAGTAAATGATTTTGATTCCACCGCGATCTATAATCGATCCGTTCAAGGCACTGGTATGCCTTTCTCATTCGAAGTTCAAGGAATCGGGCTATCTCGACCTGGTAGTGCAATAAAAACAAACGGTAAGTTTAAAACTTGTAAAAAATGAATTCCAGTATATTCTGCTATCCTTTGTCTGCTTCAAGAGCCGATAAAAAGTCCTATGATTGGAAATATGAAACGTATACGTTATATGACGAGAGAAGCAAAAGTGCGTGCAAATGCAAAAGAACAACAAAAGTTAATACCTGTCAAAGCGCTTTGGCAGTCTAAGCAATGGAAACATGTTCAATCGAAAGTAAAACAAACTTTAAAGGTTTGTAGCAATTACTTACATAAAAGAGTAGAAAATTATTTGTTCTAATTGTTTTCCATTAGGATCAAGAAAAATCTGCTCCTCGTCCTCAATCAGCACATTATCTGAAAGCCCACGAAAATACTGGTCTACAGTTTAGGCGTCCACAATCTGCTTCCACTTCTAGACAAAATTCGGTTGCATCTCCAATTGACACCGTAATATCCTGTCAGAAAATTGATCACTCCATACTCTCGATATTGAATACTTATCATGTGTAATTACGTCTATCTTTTTCTTTAGCCGAATGTGAACTATAGTTCTCAAAAAGATGATGGTAAATCAGATTACATTAAATTGAATACA